TTTTGATGTGTTGTGTTATGCTGTGTCGTGTCGTTCAGGTTGAATCATGATGCAGTTTTGGAAACCCTTTCAGCATCAACGCTGGAAACGTTTGCGTGGGCATGCGCAAGACCAATTGCGCTTGCGTCATGGGAGCGCTCGCAGTGACCTCACTTCACGCCAAAGGCGCACTCCGATGGCGTCAACGCAGCGCTGCGATAGGCCGTTAGAATGACAACCTCCCCCTTTGGCCAAATTGAGACGGCGTACCGTTTGTACTGCCCACCGCAGTTTCACTCCGCATTGCTCCCTCGCCCCCCCCCCCACTTCAGTTCAACGGTGCCGTAATTGACCTCAAGCCAGACAGGGATTAGCCTCCAGGTCCTCCGTCGGGGGGTCTTTGGGGCTCCTCCTGTGCCGTCACAGCTATGCTAATCGGCTCCCGTTGGGCTTTTTCGGGTTGAGACGGAGCCTGGCCGTCTCATCCCAGCTCCGCGTTGGCCGCTAATTCCCGCCGCGCTCAGCGGGGCGGGGCTGGTGGCCCCAAAACGTCCGGCGCTTGCGTGCCGTTGCTCAAAAAGCAGGTCAAAGGTCAGCGGGACCCGAGGCGGCGTGAGCAGATGGCAAAGCTAATGCTAGCGTGCCACTAATGCAGCAGATGAGTTTCGGAAGATTATTGAGGGCTTCCTGTTTTTGCAGGGGTCACGACCGCTTGAGGCGAAGGACGGAAGGAAATTGGAAGGAGACAGGAAGTAAACAACAGAAGGGATCCAACCAAGAAGGGAAAACGGGCAGCAAGCAGGAAGTAAATAAAAGAAGCCCCCCCCCCTCCAAAAAAAAACAAAAAAAGAGGAAATCAAGGTGAAGTTGTTTATACTGTCATCATCCGTGTTGTGATTTTCTGGTGACTTTCAAATCAGCTCTCATTCGATGGAGCTGGGCGGTCGCCACGGAGACCAGCCAGCCAATCGCATGACCATTGTCTTTGTTGCTGCAGCTCGACTGAGGGGGTCGGCCCCGCCCCCACTTCCTGTCAGCTGACCGCCGATGCTGTCTGTAAGTACAAAATATACGTTTGCGCCTTCTCACGTCTCACACACTTGCTCCGAATGCAACGGGGTAACTGCAGCTGTTACCGTGGCAACCGCATGATGGGATGCTGCCGAGCCCAGAAAGTCACCTTTAAGGGTGACCAGATGGCGACATGCGCGCGTGTTTATGGGCGAGGGGAAAAAAAATTCAAAATAAAGACAGGAAACAGTGAATTGCACTAAACGGGAAATCAAAGTGTGACAAAGCCGCTCTTGCCTCTCACGCGCGACGCACTCTCCCACGCAATGGAAACCTTGTCGAGGTGTTTTCACGTCCGGCATACTGAAGTAGCGCGACAGAGGTAACCTGAACGGTGTCACGTTTCTCGTTTGGTTTTAGCCGCCCACGATGACGGGCTGATCCCCCCCGCCCGCCCCCCCACGGCATGGCCTTGACCGATCGGTCATCGGCGCGGCCGCCGCTGCTCCTGCTCGTTTCCTGTTTCCTGTGTGCCGCCTCATCATTCCCGCGAGACTTGCAAGCGATCAGCGTGTTGGATGGTGAGTGGAAGGGGTGTGTGTGTGTGTGTGTGTGTGTGTGTGTGTGGTGGGGGGGTGGGGGTGGTGGTCCTCCTGCCGAGCTCCTTTGGGGGTCCACAGACAAATGGCATGTCAACTCGCGTGCGGCGTGTCGTCTGTCAGAGTCTGGAGACTTCCCAGCGTTCCAAAGTCTGCTGCAGGATAACCGGACGCGCCGGCTGGGTCTCCACTTCCAAGGGATGACGCGCGTCAACCGCATGCTCTTCATCACCGCCAGGTCTCTCACACACACACACACACACACACACACACGCACATTTGACTCGCTTCCACGCACCCTCTCACATGCACGCATCCGCTTTGTGTGTCAGGGATCACGTGTTTGCGGTCAATCTGACAACGGCGGCGGAGGCCTTCGTACCTCAGATGGTGAGTCGCAAAAGCGATCCGCTCATGTGAACCGTAGTTCCTCCTCCAATGGGAATTCCTCGGCAGTCGGGGAAAGGAGCGATTCATCCCCGAAGCGGCGACCGCGGTGTTATCGTGAGGCTGACCAGACCGTTGCGCGTGTGTTCCTGTTCCAGACGCTGACGTGGCGTGCCGCAGATGTGAGCAAGTGCGCGGTCCGCGGGAAAGACGGCGTGAGTTCCGCCACTCGTTTTCCCTGCTCGAGCATTCGCACGAAGCGCATTGACAGATGCGTCTCCGTCGCCCGTTTGCTTTGGTGGAGTTGTGGGCTTCTTCTTGCGCTAGCGTGAGCGTCATGCTAACGCTAACGTGGCTTTTCCTGTTTTGGCAGGACGAGTGTTACAACTACATCAAAGTTTTGGTGCCGCGCGACGACGAGACGCTGTTTGTGTGCGGCACAAACGCGTTCAACCCGGCGTGCCGCAACTACAAGGTAGACGACCCGCGCGCTGCACCTCGCCCGGGCGTGACCTCAGGGTGAGCTTTGTTGCTTTTGCATGACAGACGAGCACGTTGGAGCAGGTGGGCTCGGACCTGCCGGGTCAGGCGCGCTGTCCCTTCGAGTCGGGCCAGTCCAACGCGGGAACGTTCGCCGGTAACTTCCGCCCGTCCGTCGGCTTCCCGCCATTTTGCGCGGGCGGGCCGTGACCTCTGACCTTTGCGCCAGACGGAGACTTCTACTCGGCCACCGTGACCGACTTCCTGGCCAGCGACGCCGTCATCTACCGCAGCCTGGGAGACGGCCGTCCCGTCCTCAGGACCGTCAAGTACGACTCCAAGTGGCTTCGAGGTGAGTTGCCGCGTCCTCACCTCATCGCTCGGTGACATCGCATGACATCGTCACGTGACATCAGCTGACCCGGTCGCATGACGCTCCTGCTGTGGCAGAGCCTCGCTTCCTGCACGCCGTGGAATATGGGAGGTTCGTCTACTTTTTCCTGAGCGAGATCGCGGTGGAGTATACCACCTTGGGGAAGGTACGTACCATCGGTCGCCGTGACGCTCGCGCCGTGACCGGACGCCGCTGCGTCTGTCCGTCTGCCGCCAGGTGGTCTTCTCTCGGGTGGCCAGAGTCTGCAAGAACGACAACGGCGGCTCCCCGAGAGTTCTGGACAAGCACTGGACCTCCTTCCTTAAGGTGAGCCCATCTCGCCGCGACGAACGGCAGGAAGATGAAGCGCGAGGCAGCCGGTGCCGCCGTGACATCCGTACGACAGCAAGTTTTGCTTTGACCTGGACATAGGACAGGCGGTTGATGGCGTGCATGCGAGGTGAACAGGGGTTTTTTTTTCCCACCCACCCCGAAAAACAAAAGGTTGAACGGGAAGTCGTTTGGTGTGCGCGTGACATCGGACGGGACGCGGTTGTCAGGGCGTATAGCAACAAGTCCACGCAGTTGCGCTGTCTTGTCAGGCTCGTCTGAACTGTTCCCTTCCCGGAGAGTCTCTGTTCTACTTCGACGTTCTCCAGTCGCTGACCGGCGTTCTGCAGATCAACGGTCGCCCCGCCGTGTTAGCTGTGTTCACCACGCAGGCTAACAGGTCAGTGCTAGGCTAACAGTCGTATGCTAAAGAGGTCGAAGCTCGGTCGACGGGGCCGCGCTAGGCTAACGGTTGACCTCGGCTACCGGGTCGCGACTCGGCTCGCGGGCGCTCACGGCAAGTGAGCCGTGTCTGAACGACTTTGTGCGGCGCAGCATTCCAGGCTCGGCGGTGTGCGCGTTCTACATGGACGATGTGGAGGAAGTGTTTAGCGGGAAGTTCAAGGAACAACGCGGCGGCGACTCGTCGTGGACGGCCGCGCCTGAGGACGCCGTGCCTCGGCCGCGGTGGGTGAGAACGCGCACGCTCGCTCGAACTCTTACCCGGAAGGCGTCAAGTGGGAAACCGCCTCGCCGGAATTTTGAGCGGACGTCACTTAGTCCCGCTTCAGGGCTGTCTAGGTCCACTCTGTCCAAATCTATCGTTCCTCCCCCAGGCCCGGCTCATGCGCGGGCGACGGGCCGGCCGCCGACTTCAAATCTTCGGTGGATTTCCCGGACGAGACCCTGGCGTTCGTCAAATCTTTTCCGCTGATGGACGGTGCCGTGCCCGCAGTCAACCGGCGGCCATTTTACACCAGGACGGCCAGCGGGTAGGAGGAGCGGCTCCAAAACAAAGACGAGCTCGACTTGCGCTTTTGCATCTGAGCCAACGGGAGCCTCGAGCTTGTCACGCGCGAGCCAACTCGCCCGCCGCTTTCCCCGGCAGGTCCAAGTTGACGCAGATCGCCGCCGACGTGTCGGCGGGTCCGCGCAAGGAGCGCGCGGTGGTGTTCCTGGGCTCAGAGGACGGGAGGGTCGCCAAGGTTCTGGTCGCCACGCTTCCCCACGACACCTCGGGCTCCAGACTCCTGGAGGACATCGACGTCTACGATCCCGACAAGTGAGCCGCGCCGCTCGAAGCGGCCGACCGCCGCCGTTTGCCGTCGGGGCGGCGCCGTGCCGCCATCTCAGCCGGCCGGCGGTCAAGTCTGGCTCGAAAACTTCCTCAGGTGCGACCTCGGCGTCCGGGAGGAGGACCGCAGGGTTTTGGGACTGGAGCTGGACAAGGAGCACCACGCCTTGTTTGTGGCATTCGGCAGCTGCTTGGTGCGCGTGCCGCTGAGCCGATGCGGACGGCACGGCGCGTGCAAGAGGTTCGCTTCGCCGAGTTCAAAGGCGGAAGCAAGCAAGTGTGCCGGTTTTGACGCTCAAGGCGGTGGCTGTGCTGTCGCGCAGGGCGTGTCTGGCCTCCCGTGACCCCTACTGCATCTGGCTGCGCACAGGACGCTGTGCCGACACGGCGCCCGGGTTCAAGTACGTGTCACTTCCTCTGCGGCGGTCTTGGGGATGACCGACTCGTGCCCAACTCCATCGTGTCACTTTCGTGCGCGAGACTGACCGAGTCCTCTCGGCAGGGCGGGCTTCGAGCAGGACATCGAGGGAGACCACTCCAACATGGCCGCCTGTGCCGGTGAGACGCGGCGCCCCCTGCCGCCTGATGCAAGCACGTACAAAAGCTGATGCCCCGCCCCCTTTTTTTTGTGTGTTTTGTGCAGCCGACATCTCGGCGACCTCCCGCGACCGGGAAATGGCCGCCGACTCGGCTTACGGTAAGCCCCGCCTCCCACCGCTGCCGCCGGATGAGCAGCTGCGCCTTGGACAGGTTTTGACGTCGAAATCCGTCGTCGTTTCAATTCGGAGCTGTTCCGGGCCAATACCTGGAAGCGATTCATTTGTAGTCACGGAGTCCGATCGCCGAGTCAACGTACATTTGCGGCGAAGGGGCAAAGACTGGCGGGCGCCAACTTGCGGTCGAAATGAAGCGAGCGTTGATGAAACAGCTTTTCAAATTGGCAACATCGGACAAGATCTTGGCTCCTCCCGCTTGAGGTTGGCTCAAAGACTGACCGTTCAACGAAGAGAATCGCCGTGTTTTGGAGTTTTGCGTCCGTTTCGCCCAATGCGAGCAAACGCTGCGATGGGCTCGCCATTATTCGCACTCTTCAGGAGCGGATATTTGAACGCAAAGGGTGCAGAAATGCGTGATTGGCGAATGCGCGTGGGGCCGGGTGTTCTCCTCGTTTCAGGAGTGCGCGGCGCTGCGGCCGGCGAGGAAGACTCCGCCTCTCACGTCCACTACACTTTGCTGATCGCCTGCGTGCTCCTGGCCTTCTCGCTGGGCGCCGCCTCCTCGGGCCTCCTGGTGTCGCGCTTCCGCGGCGGCGGCCGCCGAGACGCCCGGCGGAACGGGACATTCGACAAAGACCCGGAGGCCTCGCTGCCCGGCGCCTCGTCCCCGCACCCCCTCGCCAAGCTCGGCGGACTCCTGGACCCCGCGCCCGAGGTGAGCGCGAAGCCACGCGGGGAGCGACCGAGGTGTGTGACCTGCGCCTTGTCTCCCGCAGGAGGACAAAACGGGCGAGTCGCAGCGCCCGAAGCCGTACGCGTCCCCCGGACCCGACGGCCGAGCCTCCGATCCCGTGACCGCGCGCCACCAACTGCCTGCGGCGGAGCCCCGAGTCAGCCTGACGCGGGTACGCATCGCGGCTCACCCGAGTCAAGCGGCAAAGAAAAACTCGTTGGGAATGAGAGTGACACGAGACGTGCGTGCGTGGGCTACATTTTTGAAATAGTCGCTAGCCTTGTACCAAAGCGTCGGTGAGCAAGTTGCTGTTTCACGGCAAGTATCAGCATATGGCGCGATGCGTTTCAGGTGTATGTCGTTCACGTACCCCAACTCAAATTTTCTCCTGTCGAGTCGAGTGGACTCAACAATCGTGTGACTGTCGTCCTTCCCGGCAGGCGGACGGCGAGCTCGGGGCTCTCCCCGCGCCAAACTCCGACTCGGAGTTCCCTTGGCAGATGAAGAGCTGGGACGACCCCGCCCCCTTTGCGGCAGTGACAGGGGCCAACCGCCCGGCTCCGCCCGCATTCCCGCCCCCTCATCTTTGCGGCGATGGCCAGCCGTCCGCGGACGCGGCTGACGTTTCGGCGTTGGACGACCTTCTCAGGCACATCCAGCAGGTCAGCGCAAGTGGCGACGGAGGCATCAGGGTCCTGACGTCCACCTCCTCGGGGCACCTTCATCCTCATCCTCCTCCTCCTCCTCGCGGCAAGACGCGGGCCCTCAGCTTTAACCGCAGCCATCAGCACGGCAATCGGCAGGCCGTGTCCGAGACGGAAGCGTTAGCGCTGAAGGCCAACGGCGCTATCTTGCCACAGCGCGTCATCCCGGAGGCGCCCGTCCGGCCTCGGGGCCCCGCCCTCGTCAAGATAGGCGGCAACCTGCCGCGCCACCGCAGTTTCAACCGGGGGGCGGCGCCGTCGCGACAGCGCTTGCTGGCCAGAATGAACGCCAACAACAGCGGCGGCGGGCCCCCGGCCCCGCCTGCCGCCCGCGGGGCCTGGAG